GTAACATTTATGTAAAGTCCTAATATAGCCAAATGCAAATTACAGTGATGGAAGTCAGAACAGTGGAGGGGAAATGGGGAGTTAAGACGACTGGAAAGGATCACAAAGGTTGATGGTTACACAGTTGTGTACCTTTGCTAAAACTCAAATACCACTCTTAAAACCTGTGTATTTATAATGTATGCAAAGTACACTCCAATTTAAAAAGTTGCACAGACACCCAGTAAGCCACAAGAATCTTATTTCCTGTTTCTGGGCTCTTGATACAGAGGGAATATTAACTCTCAAAGAGATTCTCACAAAAAATTAAGATAAATTGCTAGAAGATGATTGTTAAGGATAGACTCCCTAAGCCTGCAAAACAAAACGCTTCATATAGGTCATCCATTTAAGGAAAGAAAAAGAAAGTACACTTAAAAATATCCACTGGGTGGCTCAGTCGGTTAAACCTGACTCTTGATTTTGGCCTAGGTCATGATCTCATGGTTCGATTCATGGGGGATAGAACCCTGCATTGGGCTCTGCACTGACAGCACGGAGCCTGCTTGGGATTTGCTCTCTCTCTTTCTCTCTCTGCCCCTCCCCTGTTTGCACTCTGTGTCTCTCTCAAAATAAATAAGTATCAAAAAAAAATCCACTGAAGCTAACAGATAACAAAATATTTATTTTATTGTAAAATTAAAAATAGACAAGCATATGCAGTTACAGTTCCAAAGCAGAACAATACAAATATATAAATTATTGCAGTTTTAAAAGAAAAAATAGCCAGTAATGTCTGAAACCCTCTTAAAACCAACTTGTTTTTTGCCAGTAGTTTCATTTTCTTTTCCCAAAGACCCTAGCACAATTTTGTAAAATAAATTTCTAACAGCAAAGAGAGATAAGTTCAATGATCATAGTATATGCTACTTTAAAACAAGGTTAACACACACATACGGACTATAAAAGTAGGGATGGCAGCATTTAAACAGAAGTCACTACTGAATACTTTGTAAAGTGCCTCTTTTGGAGGCAGCAGATGGAAATAAACATTCTACACAAGTTTGAAAAAAGAAACACACATTTGCTAAAATTCCCTTTGCTGTGTGTGCAGCTGAGGAAAGTTCAACTAACAATTTAGGGGGGTGGGGAATACTCATCTTCATGATTTTTTTGTTTTACTTTGGTAAGCTTAAAATTGTGTACTAATTCAGTATTACTAAAATGCATTCGTAGGCTGGACTCTTTTTAAACCAAAAAGAATAGGGAAAAGTAGGTTACAAGCTAGGTGCTAAAAAAAAAATCTAATGCTAGAGACTTGCTATGATTGGTTCATAGCAAGATGACCAAGTTGTGTAATACGTTAGACTAAATTCTATAATAAGGGCAATTAGGAAGGGATGAAGTGAATGGAAATACTGAGATGTGGGACTTATTCCATAGTACTAGAGCCCTCCTCCAAGGTACCTTTCCTTGTGCTGGAGCTCTATTACCTTATTATTCTGGTAAATAACCTCTTTCCCCTGCTACCACCACAAAACTTAACATGGCAAGAATAACCTTTTGAAGATTTTATCTCTCACTGATTCTCACCACAAATTTCCTCCATAATTATTCCCACCAACCTGAAGTTAATAACACAATTAAAATTAAAATTAAATTAAAAAAATTGTAGAGTACTAAACTTTTTATTAAGTACTTAAAAATACTCAGATATCTTACTTCAGTATAAGCAATATCTGTCAGTAAATCAGAAAAAAAGAAACACTATTAGACCTTTACACTGTCCCATTTGAAAACTTTTATGTCACAATTTTATGGTCACCAACTGAACCTCCTTCTAAGCGATACAAATAATTTATTCTTTAATAGTTCTTACTTAAATTTAGAGCGTATACATTTTAAATTGAATTTTATAACATTAATACAAAACAAAGTAAAAGCAAAACTGGTAAACATTAACACAAATAGATCCTCAAAAATTAATTAAAAAAATCCTAGCAAAAACTGACAAGTCTCAACAGTGTAAATGCCAAGGTAAAAAATATCTAAACGAGAAAAGAAAGCACTTTAAACCATTTTCAGTGTTAAACAATGTGGTCAGATGAAAACCCCAGGAAATCTCAAGATGCCTGTCAAGACGCCAATAAAATATATTTTGACTATATTTTTGAAATCACTTCCCAACATGAACTTATTATTTTAAAAATAATTCTCAAGTGTATGTAAAAATGGGCACTTTGTGGTGAATTGCGCATAAATTTGAAAAACTAAGAACATTTCTTTGCTCCAACATTTAAGAACTACATAATGGAATGAAACACTATTTTGCTGTCTGTATCACCTAAGTGATGTCCTAAGTGCATACCTTTTTTTTCTTAAAAAAAAAAGGAAAGACTAATTTGGATATTAAATGTTAGGGTCAAAGGGTGATAACCTCAAATTAAAATAGATTTTTACCTTAATTAAAAGTCTGAACAAATTTGAAAACTTTAATCTCTAATGTGAACAATCTTGTGTGGTCAAAATCACTTTGGACTTCAAGTTGATTTTTAAAACTCCATCCAATTTGTCTAAAATTATGAAATCTAACATGAAAAAAACATTAGTTTTATTTCACTCCCCTTAATAATATAAGCTCTGGAAATGTTAGATTGGCGGTCTTCTCCCTTTTGCCATTTTTGAAACTGATGGTATATATGAGATTTTCTTCTAAACTTCCTCAAAAAGTACTAACAACTGTACAGAAGAATAGCCAAGGATGGTAACAATATTTGTAGTATTTCATATTCTCTCAGAACTCAACTCTGTCCCTTCTCCTCCTTTTAGCATATACAGTAACTACATCTTCATTCAATCAAGAAAACTAACAAAGGAATCAAAGTTTACCAAATGGTTGGATAAACTATTGTGCAAAGTCCTTCAAGAAAAATTCTTTCACTACAGTATTCATTCACATAAAGTACTAATATGAGTACCAGCACCGCAGATTGTTTACAGCACCTTTCCTTTGAAGAGCTTAGGTAGAAATATCTAAATGAAATAAATCAGAATCCTCAGTTAAGACCTTACTTAAGTACATGCACAATCCCACCCAATTGTTCCAAACTCATTAGTAAAGCTACATATTTGCCAAAAACAAAGCAAACACTTTTCTTTGGATTAACACTGTTGCATTTAGGACTGCACCATATGGCTCATCCTCTGGAAATAGGCTACTACTGATATCAAATGCAACACATCCCAAACTTTTATGACTGTCCCTAAGTGATCTAAATAGAAGCACAAATGTGTGCAAGCACACTGGCTGGAAACATTCTTGATGAATTATGCCAAAAAAGAGTAAAGTCAAATTTAAAAAATGTGACCTAACAACTAAGCACTTACTAAGGTATTTACTGGCATCATCAGGAAATGTCTTTATTTAACTTGTAAATTTATAAAGATTTTGATATTGCACACGTTCAGTTTAAAGCTTATCAAAACTAAGGCAATGTATCCCCACACTTCCTGGATTTCAAATTCATTTTGGATGCCTCGAAAAACTGAGAGAAATTCAAAGTATTTTTCAAAAGCTCCCTCTGAAAAGCAGTTATGTCAGACTTAAAAGAAAACAAAATGAAATCAATTGAGATATCAATTAATACTCTCAGGCAAATTTAACACGTTAGTATTACAAAAAATTGTTTTCTACTAGACTGAGGCGTTTCTTTGCTTAGTCAAATACTGTTTGTGTTCAGACTAAACTGACCCAAGCCAGAGCAGGCTGCCAAATTTAAAATAGAAGTCATTCATATCTTTATGCATGAAGCCGCCAAGTTAATGGGCTTTTCTGTAGATTCTTTCAAGCAAAGATTTTACCTCATAAATATATTCTAAGCACCAACACAAAACAGAATTTAGAGCCCATTTTAATTCTGTATTGGTTATAGCTTTTACTATATAACACATTGTTATAAAACTTACCTAGCTGTCTGAGACGACATACTAGTTCAGAATTCTTTGGAAACATCACAGGCAACTTACAAGAATATCCTTTTAAAATGGGCTTATTTTTTTGAATTAGAGTTTTGTTTTCCTGTGTCAAGCAGTCTTCTCTTTCTCTTTAAGTTCTAAAGTTTAGAAAAACACCTCATAATGCTTTTTTCAGGTCAGTAATATTGACAAGAGAATTAGGACAGTTTAAGGATTCTTAAACCTATGTCTGAAGTAGCACACAGAAGAATTTTTAAGTTTTTTTTTTAAAGATAGGACAACAATTTCGCAGCATATTCAATTTGACAGATGTTACACTGGACTTGGAAGTGAGGCGTGACTTACTCTGTCCAAATTCTAACACATCAAAGTCCTTAGAATGGAAGTAATAATGAAATATAACAGGCTTTTACTTTTATAGAGACAAGCTGACATATGAAAACTAGATTAGCATTTTCTTTCTGAACAAACTCAGAACTGCTTTTGTTAGAAAAAAATAATGTACTTTTTTTCTTGGATATTTGCTTTAAAAAGTTATTAATTCCTCTTTCCTAAGAGTTATTAGAAGTCAAAACAATTCAACTAGATAGATTTCTACTTCAAAATACATTTATCTTTGGAAAACAATAGTAAAAAGAGTATATTAAGAGAATAAAATGCAGTGATCTGAAATATGAGTGAACGTATTCACACAGGAAAAGTGTAAATATAATATACAGAGGCATTCAAATACACATTTATAAAGAGAATGGAAAGGTACCTAAAATAGCATTTATATATATAAAACTTTCATATTAAAATATTGCTCATAATAAATAAGAGGTGTATTATGAATTCCATTTCCCTCTTAAAAGTTATCTTTAGTAGTTCAGACTAATCTAAGGAGTTTAATTTTCTATTGTTTTGACAGGTGAATTGCATTAAAATGTTTAATCAAGTCACACTGTAACAGTAGTCACATGTGGTAAGTTAGGGAGGGCCATTTAGTAATAATGGGAAGAAAGATTCCCAAAATGAACCAAAATGATTAATCCTAGAAGACTAGAGTGTAACGATCTGCTTTATTTGACAAAGATGTTAAATACTGCCTTCAGCTTTGCAAATTTAAGGACCATAAAAAAATGGGACCAATAACTTTCTTCAACTTCTTTAAAGTTATCATGCCTGGCAGACCAGTACATGGTAGGGGCAGGAGGGCCAAGGAAGGAAATGTTAAGTCTGGTTTAGTTGTTTATGGGTAGGTGTGACTTTGTTCCTGTTCGCCCCACTTGCAGACATGGTAACTTGGAATAGTTCTTGAGGAGCTGTTCGATGGCAACGTGGCGGACGTGGAGCTCTGAGGCCAAAGAATCTTTTTCTTGCACTTGGTGTGTTAACTCTTCAAAAACTTCTGTAAAGATTTAAAAGGTGGATGAATATATAAATAGGTTCATTTATGACTTATGGGACAGGAAGTGACCATTAATACTCAGGTTTGGAAATACCTCTTAAGAGGTTTTGGATTCAGACTACCTACATTTTTGAATTCTTGTTCCTACACTTTTATAAGTCTCAGGCAAGTGACTAAAACTACACGCTTTAATTTCCTCTTATGTATAATCTTGGTATCAATACTAAGCAATTCACAGGGCTACTGTGAGGATTAAATGAGGTCATACTATAAAGTACATTCCACAGAATAAGCACTTGATAAACAGAAGTTGCTATTACTATTATTATTGTTACTATTTTATTATTCTCAGCTGATGTGTGATTAAGACCACTGGCCATGGAGTTAAGGCAGGGGTTATATAATCCTTAATCTGTTATTAACTGAACGCACGATCTTTGTAAGCAACTTAATGTCTCTGAAGTGTAATTTCCTCACTAAAATGAAAATCAGTTGTTTAAAAAAAAAAAAGGGAACAACAGGGGAATATCAACATTAACTGTTGTTAGTGTTAGCGTTGTATTTGATGATGTTTAAAGAATTACTAGCTATTGTTGCTGTTTTTTTTTAGGTGTGATAATGAGGTTGTGATTACCTTTAAAAGAAATTATCTTTTAGAGAAAATCCTGGAGTATTTGTAGACAAAACAATTTGTCTGGGATCTGTGTCAAATAATCCATGCTGGGCATGGGGTGAAAGGAATGGGTATGAGCAGAGATGAGGGGAAATTAGCTATGCTTTTGATAATAGTTGAAGCTGGTGAAGATGGGTCAAGGGGTTCACTAAACTATTCTCACCACTTTTGTGTTTGACATTGTTTATAATTTAAAAAACTCCACAAAACAGGGCTAATACAACTTTAAGGAACTGTTAGGAAGCACACTCATATAGTGTCTGGCATAATAATATGCTAGGAAGAGATAGGGGTTTAGTTGTCTCCATTTTTACTTAAAAAAGAAAAACTTATTTCCCCTTTATTTCATAAAGAAGTCGTTTTCTTAATCTTTTGCTCTGGAAGTTCCAATGGGTTCTAATCCCCTTTCCGAATTTAAATGCAGATAAAGTTAAGAATGTCCTGTCATGAAGGACTTTCTGTATCAAAATTTTCACATGCATAAAACATTGACACTGAGTCTTTACCCTGTATTTCCTGTCGGAGCTTTGCATTCAGTTGCTTTACCTCACCAAGAGTCATCGAATTCACTGAAACATGAAAATATGTGAATTATTACTACAGTAACCTGGAAAAATAAATTGTCTACATCACTAATACAATATTCTATTTAAAAAAATATTCACTTAACTGCCATTATAGTATTCACCCGTCCTCCAGGATTTATTCATTAACTCCTACAGTGTGGAGGATATTTTCAAATTCTAACTACAGCTCACAGCAAGAAACATATTTTACATCACTTCCAGTACACCTCCACCTGAATCAAAAGTTTTGCCAAAGAATACTTGGTAAACTGCTAGAAGCCACTACTCATCAAGCTGATTATGCTTAAGCACTACATAGTTTATGATCCACAGTTGGGAAAACACTAAAGTACTGTGGAAATAGTCTGAAAAACTGATCTATCTCGTTATATAACCTTAGATAACTCATGTGTAGAATTTAGAAGTTGCATTAAAGATACACCAATGTCCTTTCTAGTTCTAAAATCACTTGACTTAAAGTCAATTAGAATTATCTCAGTTTCTGTGAGTTTTTGTGGAAGTAAATGAAAACTGAACGGGTCACTTTTCCCAACTTTAAAATAAGTGCACACATTACCTTTGTCCTTTAGTGAAATGTCAGCTTTTTGCTTTTGAAATGCCACCCCCAGTAGATTAATCTTGTAGCGATGAGCAACGCGACAATGTATGTTAGCCAATGGTTGAAGATGTACTTCTAAACTACATGAACTTCAAACTTCCAATTGTTTGTCAATTCCATTTAGTTTAATACATTTAATTTATTAAATTTATTTATTTTAAATTTATTAAAAAAGATGATGGGACTGAATTCAAATGCTTTAGGACATACTAAGGAGTATTTGAGAGAACTGATGGAGAATTTAAGACACCTCATTTTTGCTAGGGTGAACCTGTCATTTAAATACTCTATAAAATCCATAATTCTAGAACAAAATTCTTGACATATCACATATGTAAAAATGTAAAAAAAAGAAAAGCCAACAAAACTGCAACCTTTACTTTACTCCCCATTTTACTTACATTCCTCTCTGCTGTAATGTGGATGCTGGGCCTGGACGTTAGCATCTGGATCAGAGATTATTTCTTCTTTTTTCTGTGCCTGGTTGTGACTATGAGGCCACAATACACTACTGTGGCATAAAGTGGCACCTGAATCTTGCAACACCGCAAGCTCAAAGTCTGTATTTTCCCGCTGCTCCAATATTCTTTGTGAACAGTTTGAGAGGCCGCCTGCGCTTGCATCTATCCACTTTGCAGAATACTTTGGTACTTGAGAGTCAAACTGTGGGAGTAAGTTTTTATCTGGCTTATGCCTGCAATTTAACAGGTGATGCTGGGTATTTTTAGAACATTCAGAATCTGAATCCAGATCCTTATTTTGTGCATACTGTACAATCCAGTTTATCTTCTTACTCAAAAGAGTTTTAACTTCTTCGTAAGTACTTTTTGAAAGTTTAGATCGGGGACAATCCTGGTTTGCAATCAAATGGTATTTTTCAAAGCAGTCTTTATGGCCCCTTAATGATCTGGTGTGCAAGAGATTAGATTTTGGTACTCCTACAGAGAAAAAAAAAAAACAAAAGACAACATTTTGTTTTTTTAAAAGCTGCGATAAGAGTATATACAGATCTTAGTAAAACATGGATCTCAGTCATCAGGTTTGTAAATTAGAGGAAAGATGCTAAAGAATATGGGTGTTAATAACATAAAATATGGTCTAATAATTTCTGCTTCAGTTTAACTATATAGTTCAGTAATATTAAATTCTTATGAATAATAAAGCCTTTCCAAGGACTTGATTCATTTTAAACCTTGCTCCAGAGGGAGGTTATTGCATGTAATATAAAAAAGTAGTACCAAACTAGCAATTTACATTTACAAAATGTTGGCCTTTATAGTGTAGTGCTTTCTTTGCTAATCCTCCTGAAGTACACACTTGCAAAAATTTCTACTTTAAGGCTCAGTAAGAGAAATGCTTGACAATTTTTTTCTAACAAAAACATAAGTTGATCATGTTCTTAAATTATAGTTATATTTTACTGGGGAAAGGTATACCAGAACCAAAAAAATACACATTAATAAAAGCCTCACAAAGTCAATGAAGTGGGTTTTCTGTCTGTCTATCTATCTATCTTGATTCTATCTAGTAGGCCTCATGCCCAGCATGGAGCCCAATTCAGGGCTTGAACTCATGACCCTGAGATCAAGACCTGAGCTGAGATCAAGAGTTGGACACTTAGGGTCGCCTGGGTGGCTCATTCGGTTAAGCATCTGACTTGATTTCAGCTCAGGTCATGATCTCGTGGTTTGTGAGTTTGAGCCCTGTGTTAGGCTCTCTGCTCTCAGCACAGAGCCTGCTTCGGATCCTCTGTCTCCCTGTCTCTACCCCTCCCCGCTTGCTCGCGCACTCTCTCTCTCTCAAATAAATAAGCTTAAAAAAAAAGAAAGAGCTGGACATTTAACTGACTGAGTCACCCAGGTGCCCCTAGATTTATTTTTTTAAGAAAATGAAAGCATCTAAAATGTTTTCACATTTGTTTAGCTTTCTAAAACTTTATCAAGATAATTTTATCCTCTAGAAGAAATGCATTACACACAATTAATTTTCACATAGCGATAGATTCTATCTGCTCCAATAACCAGTATAATTCTTCAACAAATCTTCATGATATCCTATAAATAGTAGATATGTTCTTATCACATTTTTCTATGTCCTAACTTTTTAGTAAGCTTAAGTATGCTATTTCAATTGTTTTTTAAAATAACAGATTATAGAACACATTTTCAAAGACATAATACATTTCATAATACAGAATACCTTATTACATTTTTATAAACTCAAGCCATATTATTAAAGTCAAACAGCAGTATGTTTATACTGAAAGTGAATAAGGGATGTGGAGCTGAAAATTAATGCCTGCCAGAATTAACCAGTCTAAATCTGCTTAGCTTTGAAAACAAGGTAAGTGGAGTGCCACTCAGGTGGCAGGTTAAAAAAAAAAAAAAAAGTTTTAGCTGACTTATCAGAAAAAATTAAACCCTGCACTCATCCTTTGTTTTAAAAATTGAAGTTGTAACAATTTTATTAACTGAACTGCAAACTTTGGCTAGTAGTAAGATAATGAAGTACTTGCACTTTAATGGTATTAAATCAGGTATAAAACGGTGTGTAAGTATTAATTTGTTCTAAAATGATGTAACATCAGCCAATAGTGGGACCTGCTGAGTTTGCCAAAACCACTGCTAAATGGGCTATCTGGTGGCTCACAAGTGAGCTATGGGGAGTACACCTCCTGAACAATGATCATGTAAGCATGTGGGAACAGCTGCTCTCACGAAGCAAACTCAAATATCTCAGCGTTGTCTTCCACCAAGTACAAAAACAGACCTGAAATGGAATTTCATACACATTTTATTTATCCCTTTGCTACTTATACTGCAGTTGTGTGTGTATGTTTTTTTTTTTGTTGTTTTGTTTTGTTTTTTAACCAGTTACTGTCTGATTAGGTCAAATTTCCAGCAAAATTAAGATACTTAAGTGCAAATCTTCAAAGCTCTATTTGATAACACGAGCGTACACCTTCAAGACTGGGTAAATTAACACGAAAAGGAAGTTCACAAATCTTATTAGAATGAAAATATTAAAAGTTTTGTTATTATATATGTTTAAGGCCATAAACAAGACAAAAAAGTAGCTAGTACAAAAGTACAGCCCAAATAAATAGCTCCACTCTGCTGTTTGATTCTAATACTTACTGCACTGGATAAACAGCAGGCAGGCAGAGAACTTGAACTTGCTTACTTTACTAACTCGGGAAGATTTTTCAAGAGCTGCCTTACTCTGCAACCTCCCTTCAGTCTCACTGCCAACAGATGGCTAACCAATCTCCAACGGTCAACTGTCTTCACAGACCACTGCCACAGCTCTAAGCCATGATTTAGTTGAATCTATTAAACATAGCAAATTTTAAGTTTCACTGGTCTCTATGAAAAGAAATTCTTTAGCATATAAAAAAATGGGTTTAAATTATGCTGCAGAAGTTAATTTTTGCTGTTAAATCTTGTGGGCTTCTGGTATTTATTTAGAAACGTCAAAAACTGTACTGATAAAAGATACAAAATTATATGAAACAATGAATTTCCTGATGTGTCCACAGCTTCAACAGCAGGCTAATAGATGTCTATTTGAAGCATAACGTGGACTTTTAAAGTTAAAGATTTTTCTTTTCCAATGTTCCTTCTTAGTTATTTGTGCAACATAACTTTTCTTCAAAAATATTTTAATTTTTAAGTTTATTTTTATTTTGATGAGGCGGGCAGAGAGAGAGAGAGAGAGAGAGAGAGAGAGAGGTGGAGGGGCAGAGAGAGAAGGTGGGAGAGAATCCCAAGCAGGCTCTGCACTGTCAGCACAGAGCCCTATGTAGGGCTTGAACCCATGAACCATGGGATCATGGCCTGAACCAAAATCGAGAGTTGCTTAACTGACTGAGCCACCCATGTGCCCCAAAATAATTTTTCTTTTAGTTTTTACTTAAATACCCAAATTAATGCTAGGAACCTGGATAAAAACATGATTACATGCATATAAATAATCTTTTGAGATGAAAAGCAAATCAGAGAACAATATTCAATTTACTGTACAAATACACAAATGTAACATAAATTTCTTTCAGATATTCAGGAGTAAAAGTCACCTGTAAATGACATGAGGGGCTCCTGGGTGGCTCAGTTGGTTAAGCGTCTGACTTCAGCTCAGGACATGATCTCATGATTCGTTGAGTTCGAACCCTGCATTGGGCTCTCTGCTGCTAGCACAGAACCTGCTTTGGATCCTCTGTCCCCTCTCTCTCTGCCCCTCCCCTGCTCACGCTCTCTCTCAAAAACGAATAAACATTTTACAAAAGAAAAATAAAACATATGAAAAAAAGTGTCATGGGCAAGAAAGAGTTCTGAGTATAGGGAACACTTATACTTAGATGGCCCATAGGCTTCTCAAACACCTACCTCCTGGACGAAATGCTTCTTCCTCTTCTAAGTGCCCAAACCTTAAACCTGATTCTCTTCCTGAGTCTGGCACCACCAACTGCTCAAGAAACCTAGGTGTCCTCCTTGACAGCTCCTCCCCTCACCTATCCCAAATGTTTTGCTGTCCATTTTAAAGCGTTCTTTTCCCCATAAAATCTAGCGGTACAACATCCCAAAATCCTGCTTCACCCGATCACCCCTCTCACTGAACTGTCTGGGTCATTACCATCTCCTGTCTGGTTCTTACTCCAACATGTCTGGGTTAGCTGAGAACACCAGATTTCACAAATGCCTCTTCACTGGCCTTTATCTCCGACTATGAGTAAGTTCTGTGGGAAAGAGCACATGCCTGGCACATGGGGAGTACTCAAGAAAAAGCAGTTAAATGAATAAAGGAAAATTTAAATTATATTAAAACCAAATAAAACAAACTTATTAGCGATTGTCATTCAAGGTCTACTACAATGAACTTTTGCCCATCCTGGGCAAGGGAAGCAGGATATGCAGTTTTGCCAGGCTACTCAGAAGTTAACTGAAGAAAGCCATCTTCAGTGGAATTACTCCTATGTTTAGTTCAATGGGCCACTAGTCTGAAGAACTGATGAGTGGCACTGATACACAGATGGCAATCTTGTGGCATCGTTCAATCTGCCAGGCAAAACCATGAACTTCTACTCAACTGTATTAATTTTAACAGAAATTTACATGTAGAGAATATAAAAGGCTATTTTACGTGAACTGTACCTCATTAATACCTTTAATTTCTTTAAGCTCACTAAGTTTTAAAGTTCAATTTGAAAATGTTTGTTTTATAAACATGGTTTAAAATATCCCATGCAGTAGCACAGGAAACAAAACATTCAAAAAGTATAATATACTGATTACTTCATATACTTGAACAAATTACCTTTTAATCTAGAAAAGAATTTGAGTAGCCCACTTAATTTGTATCAGCAATATACGTGCCATTTGATAAACTCTTGAAGTGATTTTGTTTTCTTCACTTCATCAGTTCGAATTATTATAAAAGAAACAACTATTGCTATTATCAGAGATCCCAGTGAGTTTCCCTACTGACTTTTCAATTTTAATTGCATTTACAAGTGTAAACAGCTCTGAGCACCAATTTGTTTCCTTAGCAGCTTTTGAAAAGGAATGAATCTAAATGCAATTAAATGAGTTGATATTTTTGAAGAGCTGAGTTATAAGGAGTTTCCAAACCAGTTCAACAAAAACTGCGCTACAACTTCCTCACTAATAAAAATGTTGAAGGCAAACGTAATTGACATCCTAACTATTATGAAAACTTCTTTAAATCATACTTCAAAAAGGTCCATGTAATTTTTTTTTTTTTTTGTCATGAAGTCATTTTTATTAGTGAACCAAGACCTTAATTGGCAACCATGACTGCTTTTTTTTAAGTACTAGCTGCTCTGGAGAGAGGCCATTTAGAATTACATAGGCAGTATATTTCTGTATGAACAGGGGTATTTTAAAAAGTTAAGCTGTTCCTATTCAATAGTTTTTTCTTT